CGGGGTTTCACCATGTTGACCAGGATGGTCTCGATCTCTTGACCTCGTGATCCACCCGCCTCGGCCTCCCACAGTGCTGGGATTACAGGCTTGAGCCACCGCGCCCGGCCATGATGAGCACTTTTTCATATGTTTGTAGCGCAAAAAAGGATGAAAACACCCAAAACCAGAACACCTCTCCTACTACAAGGGATAGGAGTCTTCTTAATTTTAGCCATTTAGTGTTTATGTAGAGATATTTTATCGTGGTTTGAATTTGCATTTGCCTGATAAGCAATGATATTAAGCATTTTTTGGTACTTATCGGCCAGTTGGGCATTCCCTTTTGTAAAATGTCTATTCAAGTTTTTACAGAAATACAGTGTTACTGTATTTTACAGAAACACAGTAAAAATAGACAAAAACAGACAGTGGAGCAGAATCATCTTGAGGAATTCAGCAATTTACGCAACAAACCGGCAACCAGTCGCTTCTACAATTGCTAACCAGTTGCTGCAATTAGTAAACTAATTGAAACAAATCAAACAGGTGCATGACTGAATGTTTCCTGTTGAGCCAGGTATTTGGATAACACAGAGACCACCAACTTAGACTCAGGGAGAAGGGAATGCAGACAAGACCCAAGAACCTCCCCTAGGCAGCTAGCCCCAGCCTGAGACGTTCCCGCCTCAACTCACCGACTGTTTTTCCTTCATTTACAGGATCCTGACAGTGATCAGCCTCTGAACAGCCTCGGTAAGTAAGTTCAGGTCCAGCCTTCATTAGTCCACCTTAGCCTCTGAGTTTCAGTTACCAACTCGATCCTAAGCCACTCTTGCCTGGCCCTCACCACTACCACCAAAGTGCCAACTGCTATGGGTGACATCCAGCCACCCATCCATCCATCATTCAGCAAACATTCCAGGATTCATTCTAAAGTAGGAGGTCTGGTCTCTGGGGAAACAGGACCAACAAACCTAAAATCCCCAAAGCAATGATTCTCCAATTCATCCATTCAATTACTCTTACCCTTTTAGTAAAACTGTAAGTACCTGCCATGTGCCAGGCCCTGGGCTGGATGCTGGGCGATCACAGTAATTAAGACAGCTGAAGTCTCTGTTCTCATGGAGTTCACAATGGCACCATGCCGCCAAGGAACAAGCTGGCCAGAGGCATTTTCATGAAAAATGGCAGTGCTTGCCTGATTTCCAGGGGAAGAAAAATAAGTTAATAAATAGAATGATCCCAAATTTAAGGAGATGTTTTTCTTCCATTACAGTTTCTTAAACCATTGATATCTACTCCTGATAGCCTGCTGGATCGGCAAAACAAATGATCAAGGAACACATTAATATGAACAGATCAATAAGAAAATGGCCAATCCTGCTTACTTTGACAGGTTATTTATTTCCCAGTTCTGGGTCATGAGTTAATGATGACCACAACCAAAGTAATCTTTAGCAACTAAAATGGTGCCTAGTTTATACTTTGGAATTTAAAAGAAGAGTAAAGCCACAGTGTCCCCAAAGAACACCAGGGCACCTACTGCTCCACCGCCTGAGCAAGCCTGAGAACTCTCAAACCAGGAAACAGGCTGAGTTTGCTCGAGGACCAGGGATTGACCATGCCTATGCAGAACTGGGGGCTGGTGGAAGTCCGTGTGGCTCAGAGAGAGAGGCCAAATTACACTGGCTTTGAAAGATGTAAGCCAGATGTGGAAGTCTCTCGTAGGCTCTGGGGTGGGAAGTGGCAGGATGAAAGCAAGCTTTTAGGAAGCTCTGTCTAGCAGCAGTGGGCAGGACAGGCTGGAGGGAGGAGCAACAGCCGGCAAGGAGGCTGTGCATAGCTCACTGGCTTCGTTAACTTAAACTAGCTATGAAAACTCTTCCCTTCCTGGTGAGGAAAGTGGATGGTCCCTGAGAATGTCTGGCCCTGGACAATGGGTCACTCACTCTCTGAGAAAACAAACTGATCTCATGTTCCCAGAGATAGGTGCTCAATAATAAATCACGCGTGAATTCATGAACGAAATGTCATCATGGCCACGGCCACAGGAAAGAGGACAATTCTGAAGACTGGCTGCTGGAGCTTTAAAAACCACAGCGGCAAACAGGACTGATAAGCCTCTTTGTGCCAGGTCATAGCTGATAGGCAATACCGCTTCCAGTCCACTGTCTGAAGTTAAAACTCTTCTGCGGAAACAAAGTGTCCTAAGCTTTTCTTTGTCAACAGATTCATTAATACTGGCATTCATTGGGTGGCAATCTCTGGCAGGATGCCGTTCTCTGCTTTTGAAGAGCTGAGGAAAGAAATAGAGACAGACGTGTGATTAGCCATCATTCAAGGCAGAATAACATGTGACCTGTAAGAAAGGTAGAAGGGGCCGGGCATGGTGGTTCACACGTGTAATCCTAGCACTTAAGGAGAACAAGACACGTGGATCGCTTGTGCCCAGGAGTCTGAGACCAGTCTGGGTAACATGGCAAAACTGCATCTCTACAAAAAATATGAAAGTTAACTGGGTGTGGTGGCACATGCCTATAGTCTCAGCTACTTGGATGGCTAAGGTAAGAGGATGGCTTGAGCCCAGGAGTTGGAGGTTGCAGTGAGCCAAGATCATGCCACTGCCACTGCACTCCAGCCTGGGTGTCAGATTCCATGAAAGAAAGAGAGAGAGAAAGAGAGAGAGAGGAGAAAGAAAGAAAAGAAGGTAGGTAGTAGAAGGGATGTGCTTAAAAGAACAGAGCCAAGAACAATTCATTTGCTCATGCGACAAATATTTGTTGAGCAATTGCTATGGACCAAGCACTGTTCTAGGCACGAGGGACTCAGCAGTGAGCAAAACAGACAAGTTATATCTTCAACTAGTCTTCATTTCATGAAGGGGCGGGAGGAGACAGAGAATATACAAAATATGTCAAATATAGCATATGTTAGAGGTGAGACATGGTTTGGAAGAAAAGAAAGCAAGGAAGGAGGACAGGAAAGGTTTGAAGGCTGCATTTTAAACAGGGAGATTCAGGGAGGCCTCACTGTGGAGGTGATAGTGAAAAAGAGACTAGGAGGAGGAGAGGGAGCCTGCTATGTGAAGGTGAGGGCGGGAGAGCTGGTCTGCTACTTTCCAGGGTTTCCAGAATTCTTGTCCCAGCTCCGCCAGGGGAGAAGTCCCCATGGCACCTCCACAGCATATTTCCCACAAGGAGACCTAAAAGAATGCATCTCTGATACTTACTGTTATTAATTTTACCTATGTTTTCCCTTTCCCAAGTTCCTTCTCCTTGAAATAACCATGTGCAATGGAGAATGTAGTTATTATTGCCTCTGTTCTAGACAGCAATAAGCTCCTGACTGGTCTCCCTGACCCCAGGTGCTTCTGTTCCAATCCAC